TTCCTTCCTTCCTTCCTTCCTTCCTTCCTTCCTTCCTTCCTTCCTTCCTTCCCTCCCTCCCTCCCTCCCTCCCTCCCTCCTTCCTTCCTTTCTTCCTTCCTTTCTTTGTTCCTTCCTTTTGGTTTTGTGAGACAGCATTTTTCTGTGTATCTTTGGGTATCCTGGACTCACTTTGTAGACCAGGCTAGCCTCAAACTCCCAGAGATCCTCCTGCTTCTGCCTCTGCCGAGTGCTGGGATTACAGCTGTACACCACTGTGCCGGGTACATCAGAGCTTACTTTATCATACTTTATGTCATTTGAAGTATTAAGGTCAGTTCCCACTTTTTAATGAGCTTCAAAACATTTAATGGACTTATGTGAAGATTCTCAATTTCAAGTATATTAAAAACAGGTTGTATTATATTTTACATACATTATTTCATAATGTCCCTTGTTGACAACAATGTTATCAATAGACCTGTACATAAACTGAAATCTAACTTTAGGAAGCAAAAATTTGAAAAAAAAATAATATGTAAGTGTCTTTTGAGTGTGTGTATGTGTATTTACCATGGACCTAACTACGAAGATATTAGTAAACATAATTAGTAAACATAATTAGTAAACATAATTGTATGCTTCTTCCCTTCTCTCTTAGTCTGATTCCAACATGTCAACTGGAAATTGTGTCAGTAGTAGATTTTGGCACAGTAGTTGCCAATAGTAAAGTGCATTGCAAAGAGATTAGTATTGTTAACCATGGCATGGCTCCAGGTAAATATTTCGTGTCATATAGAAGAGTTGCTGTTATAGTAAATGTGTGTGTTGTATAATAGATTTTCTGCGTTATCAAGAAAAGATGTTGAAATACTTGAAAACAAAAGGTGTTTTAGTGTTGTGACTACAAAGGACAGATATCCAATCATTCATGAAAACCTGCCTTTTATAATATATATTAACAAAGCCTTTTTGTTATATGACCAGAGATTTTCTTTAAGATGAGAGGCAGGATAGTGTCATAGAAATAACATTGTTCTTAGGCTGATCCAAAGTTTGAGCTAGAACCCAACTATCTATATCATATGGGCCAAGTGTCTTTAAGAAAACTGTCAAAATCCTTATTCAAGAGGAGAAAATAGTAAATATATGATGGTTATTTGGGGATATATCTAAAATTTTGTGTTATAAATTAAAATATTCTTGTTGGGCTCTATAATATTTATTATTATTAGCCCTAAGATTATCATGTTAGAATTTATAATTGCTTTATTTACCTTGGGCTGGGCAGATATTCTTACCTATTCTGTCTAAATATCCTCCTCGGCATCCTTCTCCCAGCCCTTATCCAATGCCATTCTCTGTACCCTATCTTCCACTCACAATCTTATAAATACTGTCTTTTATTCTTCATTTGGACCTTTTCATGCTATTATTGGAGTTCTTCCTCCCTGGCCCACGTGGTTTCTTCTTCAGGCTAACCTGTCATGGCATCCTTTTTTTTTTTTCCTCTCTTCCTGTCCTCCTGTCTTTTGATTCTCCTGGATCTTCTGTCCTCAAAAGCCCAGGAACCTTAGCCAAGCCTACCCTATTCTGCCCTGCCCAGGTATAGGCCATTTAATGAACCAGTCAGGTATCATGTTTTAGGCAGGTTTATACAAACAAGATGGGTGTATCCAGTGGGCAGTAACCAAATCTTTAGGGCCAGTAATTAACATTAGCCTAACCTCCAATAATTTTGGTATGATACTTGTTATCATATTCAACTTGTCATTCACATCATGATCTCTAGAATGCTTTTACTAATATATTTTCACTGAAAGAACACTTTTCTTCAAACTGGATTATTTTTAGAAATTTTTATTTTGGGTTGCTTGAACACTGAGGAATATTAACATAAAACAATCTATCCTTTTTTGTATTTCTTCAAAAGATATACAAGAAGAAAACTCATAGCTGATTTCTGAGTGAACCTTGTTTATTTAGCATTCAATGATTTGGTTCCTTGGCAGGTGAATATTCATTGCTTGGGAGTTTATAGAATATTAGAATCTAGGTTCATTTTTAGTTTGATTCCAATGTGAAGAATAGAGTCTCTTAAGGCATGTGGGTTCTTTGATTCTGAAGAGTAGTAATATTTTAGAGCAGTGATATATGATTGAATTTTTTTTTATTTTATGTTGCTTTTCACGTTTTCCCTTAACTTGTTCATTTATAATCCTTTAGGGATTAAATGAAAAATAACATCCATTTTAGCCTAAAATCTCTGTAAATTAAAGCTTTATAGCCATGTTAAAATGCAGATTTGGTTTTAATGGGATATGTTTAATGCATTTTTTCAATGAAACAAATGAAAAATTAAAGTGTTTTTTAATATAAGTATTTTTCCAAAATGAATATATAATATTTTAAGGTACTAGTGAGGGTTGAATTCTGTCTCTGGGTTCAGATTTGTTGGGATTTATCAGTATCTGTAATTAAGATAAATGCTATTATTTTTGTTCCATAGTGAACCATCTATGTAATGTGTGTCTATTGTAAGTTTGTAGTTACTTACTCCACATAAGATGTAATAGTAAGAAACTGTGTCTCTTACTCTCCTTAGGCATGTTTAAAACAGAATACTGCGGTCAGTTGCCTATTGTCATTTCTCCAAGTAGTGGTATTGTGAAACCTCAGTCATCAGAGGTCATCAAAGTAGATTTCTGTGCAGACAAGGCCCACATTGTAAATGAAATGGCAAGGTAAATTTATAATATGTTCTTTTGAAAAAAAAATTGCTTCTATGGAACTCAATATTTTCCTGTATTCTTCTTTCATATTGATTGCTTGATTGCCAACTTCTTTTTCTTTCATTTACTACTTGTTCAATTAGTTATTTCTGTATGTCAAGATACACAAGTACAGATAATACTCAGCAATGGAAACTACTTGAGAGTAGCATATGGATACACATAACAGCAGCTCCTAAGTTTTGTGGACATGGAGGAATGGTCCAAGGATTCCACCAAGAAATTGGTAGTTGAATCACACACTCATCATTAAATAGGATCTAGGTAGCAAATGGCAGTGATATTGCTGTGTGTATGCATGTGTGTGAGTGTGTGTGTATGTGTGTGTAAAGTGAATATTGATGATAGATTGGATTGCATTAGTAATTTCAGTTAGATAAATTAGCAGATTTGAAACTTTAGAAATAACTGTATTCTCTATGGAAGGACCAGGGAATATATGGAGTTGAAGAAATACAAGGGAATGATGCATGGTGAGACTAACACACAAATTACACAGGATCCAGTAAAGGGCTTATGGGGCATCAGTTTTTTAAAAATGTGATTTGCCTCATCTCATTCATAGATGAAATGTGTAGTTAATACACTAAGTCAACACTAGTGTGTACAGTAATAAAATAGAAAATATCAGTGTACCTCGGATAAGATGCTCAATCCTAATTCAGAAAGGCAAATGGGATGGACATCAGAAAAGGGAGAAAACAGGGAACAGGACAAGAGCCCACCACAGAGGGCCTCTGAAAGACTCTACCCTGCAGGGTACCAAAGCAGAAGCTGAGACTCATAGCCAAATTTTGGGCAGAGTGCAGGGAATCTTATGAAATAAGGGAGAGATAGATCTGGAGGAGATGGGAGCTCCACCAGAAGAGAAAAAAAAATCTGGTTTTAGGGGTCTTTTCTGAGACTGACACTCCAACCAAAGACCATGCATAGAGATAACCTAGAACCTCTGCACAGATATAGCCCATGGCAGATTAGTGTCCAAGTGGGTACCCTAGTAATGAGAACAGGGACTGTCTCTGACATGAACTCAGTGGCTGGCTCTTTGATCAGCTCTCCCTGAGGGGGGTGCAGCCTTACCAGGCCACAAAGGAAGACAATGCAGCCAGTCTTGATGATAACTGATAGCCTAGGGTCAGATGGGAGGGGAGAAGGACCTCCCCTATCAGTGACATGGGGGAGGGGCATGGGAAGAAGGGAGGGTGGAATTGAGAGAGGCCTGGGAGAGGTTTACAGCTGGGATACAAAGTGAATAAACTGTAATTAATAAAACAATAAATTTTAAAAATGTAAAACAAACAAAAAATAAAAAATAACTTCTTTTAGGTTTTGTAGGTCTTTTTTTTATATTCTTGTGTGCTACTACATTGCATATAAGGTAAATTTCTTACTGAAGGCCATAGTTGTGGCTTTTAAGAAATATTTATGAATCTGATATGAAGTTAGGATCAAATTTGAAAGCAGAAAATTAATCTGAGGATCAGGTTGCATTTTAGAGAGTCACAGTAACAGTAGGCATGAATCAGATCAGGCAGTGTCCAGGTGACTTGTGTACAGGGATATTCGGGGTATATGTGGAAACTAAAACAAGAGTACTGAGGATTACTCTGAAAAGAAGAACAGAATGTGTAACTATAAGAGAGAAACAAATAGTTTAAAGAGAACCTATGCTTTAGAATGAAAGTTAGATCATGCATGCATAAGTTAAAATGAAAACCTGGGAAAGTATGTAATGTCCAAGGATCTATGGAAAGACATATTTACTGAGATATGTTATGCATACTTCCCACAATTATATAAAATTTTAAATAAGTGTTTATTCATTAAAATTTTATTTATTATTACATTTTAAATAATAAATATATTCATTTTACATCCTGATTGTAGTCCCCTCCTTCCTTTCCTCTTGGTCCCATTCTCCCACCCTCTTTTCCCATCCTCCCCTTTGCCTCAGAAAAGGCGAGCTCCTGCAACCATCCCACATAGCACATCAAATCACATCAGGACTGAGCTCATCTTCATTCACTGAGGCCAGGCAAAGCAACCCTGTTAAGGGGAAGTAATCGAAATGCAGGCAACTGAGTACATGTCACAGATAGCATTAGCTCCACTTACTAGGCAACCCAACTGAAAATCAGGCTGCCTATTGGTTACATAGGTGTAGAGAGTCTTGGTCTAGTCCATGAATGCTCTTCGGTTGGTGCTTCCATCTCCGTAATCCCCCTCCCCATGGGCCTAGGTTAGTTAACTCTGTTGGTCTTCTTGTGGCGTTCTTGTCTTCTCTGGGTACTGTCCTCCCTCCTTATTCTTCCACGAGACTACTCCTAATGCTTGGATTGATCTGATTTGATCAACTGCTGGGTGAGGCATTTCTCAGAGGATGTTTATGCTAGGCTCTTGTCTATAAACATAGTAGAACATCATTAATGGTGATTGTTTAGGAGTATCCAGTTATTCCAAAAAGGAATAAACGTGTCAGGGGAAGGCTAAATAAGAACTGCAATTAGTTTGTGTAACCAAATTTTCTTGGAATGTTTTTTAAGCAAATTTTTCCTGATA